AAAGTATTTCTTGATGCTAGATTTAACTGTATGCGAGCAAATAAGCAGCTATGCTTAGAGGAGTTCTGTCGTCGCACTGAAAGAAGGTGATTGGTTTAGTCGACTTATTATTACCCAATAAAATATGGTTTGAAGTGGCATGAAAATGATACTGATGTCTGCCTATGAAGCGTGCAGAGCGCGCAACTCACTTTTATTGGACACTCAAAAGGTCGGTAGCATGTCTCGATAAGAACATTGGAAAAATAGCAAAAAAGAGCATCGATGACGTTATCTTTTAATGATCCGTAGGCAGAAGATACCTTCTATAGGTATGGATGTGTCTATTCGGCTCATGTTAAGACGGCTTTACACTGTACTGTATTTCCAATAGGTTATTTTTTCGTAAATATCAACTTACGCGCGACTGTCTCTCTAACCCAGTTGCGAAATTTAGAGCATCAGATCGAATTCTAAAGCGGTGCCTATTCACTGCTAACCTTTTTTTTTATTGTTGAAATACGTTTTAAAGTCGTTTGCTTGAAATTTTTACAGAACGCTCAACGGATTTCCTTTTATAGCATTAGTAGATTGAAACTGGTGATCATAAAAAAGAAAATTTCAACATTGAAATAATAATATTGAAAGTCGCATTGTGCCCCACCAAGTGAATACGGAGCTGCGTTTGTTGAATTTTTGACCAAAAATTATTTAAGAACAACAAAAGCATTGTGAACAGTGCATTTTGGTTATAGGAAGTAGAGTTATATCCTCATAATTCAGGTCGTCTTCTGCGAATAGCTTCACGCTAACGCTGCAAAATACTTGAATAATAATTCCTATTTACAATTTAGCCTGTTAGAAATTCACGATGAACAGCCCTACGGTAATCGAAGAAAACAATCAACATTACTTGATGTTGTACCGACTCTGAGGGGTCTTGAAAATCTTGCTTCATATCTGTGAGCCGTTTCTGTATCAAAACCGTAAATTCGTGTTTGCTCGCTAAGACAAACATGGACAGACTGTGAAATACTCGGATTGTGGAATGGCAGTGTTCAAATGGCTTTTCCAGAACCATTAAAATACGCTGTTATATTTGAAAAAATTTACCGTTTTTGAAGACAACATTCTTAAGTCGAATTGATCTTTCAAAGCTATAACACACAGAAACACTTTTTTTGTTTATAAAGCGTTGTTTTGTAAGTCTTCTGCGTATTTCAAATGTTTTTGTAACAGAAATTCCATTGCCCAAAACAAAATTTAATGAGCTGTTGAATGAGCAAATTATGAAAGTTAAAATTTCTGAGAAAACCTTCCACGTGGGACAAAAGAAGAGAATAAGTAATGACAATGCAGACTTTTTCTTCGATTTATTAAAATTTTCTTCAGATAAAATTTAAAATACACGTTTGTTTGTATGTAGCTATAAATTTTATACGTAAATGCAAAATTTGTGTAATATTCGTACACTGGAGAGAAATTGATAGAAATAATCTTAATTACGGATTGTAGATGCTCATCAAATAGTTCGTTCTTTTCCTATTTAATTTTCAGCTGTGAAAAAAGTGCTGTTCTCATATTCCCAAATAAAGCCATTATTCTTAGTGCAAAAATTCGTAACTGAGCGTACTTAATTTTTGACAGGTAGGAATAGAAGATAATTAAACCTGTGCCTTTGTATCTAAGATTTATATCACATTAAATTAATTAGCTCCATTCATAGGTTTGTTTGTTTAATAAATCTCATTAGTTTTGAATGGTAATGAAAATATTGTAAACTAGGACTTCAAATAATTAAAATCTTTGCAACAAATACATAATTGAAATGTATTTCTGCGGGCCGCAAAATATTCGGGATGTTGAAAGGGAAACTAGTTCGCATTTACGTTACATGTGGACAATAACACTGAAATGCCAAGAATCCAACATCTTCAACCCCGAAATTGGATGGAACGTTTGGTCTGTCGTTACATTAATTAGTAACGATGTCCTTAGCTATCTTTGTTCCTTTAACAACTTTATAACAATATGCAGAACGTACGTAAGCGTATTTTATTGTAATTCGCAATATCACGTGTATGTGCTATCTTCCGTTATTCGTCTGAAATTAATATAAAAAAGATAAATCGAACTATTTAATTTACTAATAAATAAATCCAAATGTTATGAGAGTTAATTTCTTTTCCCTGCTGAGCACTAAAAGAGCAGCAACGTGTAATCAAGAATTTTCTTCACACGATAAGTGAGGAAGTAATACATGGATCTACTATCACTCATCTTTAAATTAAAAAATTTTGCGATAAAGGGAGCATATCCATAAACACCTTTCTTGATAGCTTTTATGCACGAAACTTTTAAACTATATAATTCCTTACTTTAAATGTCATCTTTTTCATTCAAACTTTCTTTTTAGGTAACTTATGATGATCTTCCTCTTCCATAAATTATAAAAGATATAACGTTTTTGTCTGGATCAAAAGCGCTTCAAAAAGCATAAATCAGATCCTGTGGCTGCTTTCCGAACACGCGAGCGTAGGAAATTGGCTTTTCGTGGGTATTAAATTCGAAATTCAGCAAGCCTTCACAAAGGACCTTTGATAAAAAATGTCAAAAAATACCTAAATTGTGAATAAATGCAAGTGAATGTCATTTCCCATCCTTAGCGTTTTAGAACTTTCTATCGAAATACCCTTCTTTGCGCGATTCTGCTATTTTATTTTATCAGGTAAAGCCTAGTTGGTCATAAAAAGCAGTAAGGGCGGTCATTTTCTTTTGCCATTCTGGTAGAAATGATGATGACGGCAATGAAATAGGTTTTGCGTTCCTAAAGTCTATTAAGTAGCAGCATGATGCGTTCATGGCTCTTATCCGTACGATGTAATTAATTCATGGCGAAATATATCAGACTGCTACAGCAGAAGGGATGTGTGGTCGCGGATTAGGATTTCTGGTCGAAAGATTCTTAATTCTTGTTTTCTTTCCTGTCGCAAATTTTCGTCAAGATGTTTATTATTGCGTTTGATATTACTGCTGAATTAGCGTGCTTGACTGAATATTCTCTTTTTTTATTTGCCTTGTTACAGGTTTGACGTTTAAAGATCTTTTTTTTTTCCTATTTCATTTCCTTTTCCACAGTTGAATTAAAATTATTAATTTTTTTCGCTTGAAACAAAATTACCGTCTCTGATTTGAAATTGCCATTCTTTTTCTTTAAAAAATTGCCAAGTTCCGCCAGAGTAGTAGCGATAATACCAAAGTACCTGGAGATTAACGAATTTTGCATATTTAAATGATTATTATGTGAGAAGTTCAGATTTTAAAGTGTGTTTGACTATTCCGTATTTAATAATGGCTCATACTAATACATTTGATCTCATCTTCAAACTGAAATTTAAAATTTCGTTTCCTTCAAAAGAAGCAAATCTTTACATATCAGGGAGCAGTGAGGGGAGGGGAAAAAATCGTGATTACAGTGTAGTAGTAGTTCTGAGGCAGTGGTTGTCATGACCGAAATATGAAAAATTACTTTTAAACGCATGATTGTTATGACGGAAAATTGTTGTTGGAATTAATATTGAATTAAATTAATAATTATTATTGAATTGACATTAAATATGGAAGCTCGTAAGTAAGGTTTCAAAAATATAACGTGTGACGCAATTCATGAAATTTTTTCTTAAATTTAATTAAAATTCATGAAATTTTACACTATTAATGTAATAATGGCACCTAGGCACTATCACGTTTTTAAAATACTATGTTGGCCTACAGCAGGGGTAATCACATTTGTTATAGCTGCCGTCCACTTTGTAGATAGTAAAATTTCTTTCCGCTCAGGGGTTCGCAGTAATTTAACTCAGCACAAGCGCAAAGTAATTTTTTTAGTGGAGGTTTAGTAAAAAATATATAATTAAATTTATTCGTTTATTTATACTTTGCGTATATTTGTAAATGACAGAAAACTGATTAAAGAATGAAGGCGTATAAAAGTGCGCTGCCCACGGGAACGTATATATATATATATATATATATATATATATATATATATATATACATACATGAAACGGCTACGTCGATTTGCAAGTGTCATCATCTGAACTAAGATACTTTTTTCCTCGTACACAAGGTAGGTTATATATAGCTTTAACCTGCCTCTCAGAATATTCTCGGGAAAACCGCTAAGAATGCGTTCTGGAATATTCTCGCTCCGTTTATGGCATATTGCCAATTTTGTCGTCAAGCGGGCGATTTCACCCCAAATCTAGCAACTCTGCCTTTCCCTGCCACTTTCTGGTAACCCTAAATTCGCGTGCTTTGATGGGAAGCTATCTCACCGCGAAGCAACAATCTAATTTGGCAACAATATATATATATTTATGTAAGACTGAAAAAAAATATGAAAGCAATCTAATTTTGCAATAGTCCTTTCCGTTCTAAAAATAGTAACTATTTATAATATATTAGTCTAAACTGCCTAATTTCAGAATTACTAGCATCATGCTTTCTTACGTAGCTCTGCAATGCAGATACCTCTTATCCAATCACAAATTAAAATTTCTATTAAAGAACCGAATCTTTTTGACTTTCCCACGTTTCTTCTGAATGAGTAGTTACTTTCCTCGCTTGCTAGGCTACTGCTAACACGTTACGGTCAATTTCTGTCTTCGCACTAAACCACCTTCAGTCCATTATATATATAGTATCAGTCCATTATACTGTATTATTCAGTCCATTATATATATAGTATCAGTCCATTATACTGTATTATTCAGTCCATTATGTTATCTGGTAGATGTATTACATATAGTACATAAATGTATGTGTGAGTGTGTTTCGATCTTCTTTGATCTTCATCATCGTGAGCGATGGGGACCAGGTAGACTACGTCAAACTAAAACACTTGCGGCTGAGAATTTGTAAAATAAAGTGAAATCAATTCGGTTTTGTATTTCATGTTGATGTTTGTAAGTAGCTTTTGTATGACTATTTTGTTTTTAATTACCTACATATTTTTACAGGTGGTTGCCTGCCGGAGGATGGGGTGCCGGATATGACTGTGATTAGTGATATAGATGAGCAAGGCATCAATACTAACCTCAAGACACGATATCGGAGGGATCATATATACGTATCCTTTTAAGTTTTCTTCTGTTCTTGATTGCTGCTCGATTTTTATATTGTTCTGAGAATATTTTAGTCGTTTAGTAATGGTTTTTAAGAGGTAAGTGAAATTTTTTTTTATCTGTATTGAAAACAATACGCTTGGTGATTTTTGTATCATTCTAGTATAGTTGCACATAAAAAACGTGTACAACCAACTGCCTTGGTTTTTTTATGTTTATATAGCTGAATTATATTAATGAGAGTAATCTATTTTGCACGAAAGTATTAATGAATGTATACTTTTTAAATGGTGTCAAACAATTCAAAATTTCTTACGCTTTATCATATATATATAAATTAAAGTAAAGTAAAAAGAAAAAACGATAAAAAAACCTATGTGGTCAAAAACTTTGCGCATTGTGCTGCAAAATTTAGAGAAAGGTTAAAAAAAATCCTAGTTCGTACGCTAAAAAGCTGCTTAAATACTGTGTTTCCGTGAAAACATTAACATAAGCAAAATAAGTTGCAATAAAATGTGTTACAAGATAAAAAAATATAACATTTGAATATTTACAAGTAAAAATCAATACTAATAGTAAGCAATATGCTAATCATATATATATGCTATGATTTTGATTTAATGGTTGTTTTTTGCTTATCAGGATGTTATGTTGTAAGAAGAAATTAGAAACACTGAAATTTTGTATTCGCTCGTGAAAGTTTTGTGTAATTCTACTTTAAAGCTCTTTTTTACAAGAGTATTATTATTACTAGCATTTAAAGATAAGTCAAAAATTCAGTTCGCTGTTAATGATATGCAGAAAAAGTGATAATTGGCATATATTTAACTGTCGGCAATCTGTGTTCTTAGTTATATTATGTCATACGTGATCTCGAAAAGATCCAGGGAAACCCAAAACTAATGAGAAAACTAATTTTTATTATATATTTTAATAGTATTTTCTCTGTCGGTTTGAGCAGAATTATTTCTAGTTGAGTTCAATTTTTGTAAAACCTACGTGCTGTATCCTATCCGTGTTTATATCTTATTTTGAATCTAAATTACATGCAGACGTACCTAACATGGAATTTAATTAAAATCAAATCAGAATCAAATACACCTTAATTTATCTCTGTGCCCATGTTACGTTGAATTAAACCTTTATCTATAAGCCATGTTTATTGAAAACTTCGGTATCCATGTAATCGTTAAAGGACAGATGGAATATCTTTACGCTAAGATAAATCGAGGCATGAGGATTTTAATGGCAAATTCTGCTGAAGATCATCGGTAATATTCACGGCAGTAGTAAATTAAGAAAAAAGATCATAAAAAAATAAGTTTTGCCATTATCAATTATGTAATTACTGTTTATTATACTGTCAGTTATTATTTATACTGTCAGATTACGAAATTACTTAGGATTTATATATGGTAATATAAAGATGATTGTGTCAGCATTTACTATTCCAACACAGTTGACACGTAGATATTATATGCTTATCCTAAAAAGAGAAATTTGGTGCGGGAAAATAGAAACTATGAACATAAATACTGCAACGAAATTTTAAATTGCTCTACTTCCTGTGTTAATGCTCACTAATCGCTGATGCGAATCACTTGATGTAGCCACCAGATTTCTTCTGAAGAGGGTTTTTCTTATTATTCCGAACATGAATAATGATGCAGAACAAGCATGTTCGTTGTGGCTTATCTTTGCGTCTCACGAAAATTATTGTATTTAGTTTGAAGAAAAAAAGAGTGACAAAGAACAAAATTTTGTGTTCAAGAGAAAAAAATTTGCAAAAGTGTTTTTTTTTTCCCCAGTTTGGAGGATATTAGGAATATATCATCCATATTCGAATGGATTATTATTCAGTGATGGAAAAAAAGGGAGATTAGGAAAAGGGGGAAATAGTTTATTATTTTTAAAGAGTGGACATTTATATTAATAGATATGACCTTGATGTCTGATGCATTGGCATGATTACATAGACATATTATGAGCCCAGAGCATGGTTATGGAAGACTAATCGTCGAATAGTGCCTTAATCAAATGTCATGCTGGGAGACTGGCCTGTTGTGTGACACGGCGTCCATTAGAGTAATATGAAAGGCTATTTTTTAAGTGATCTCCACATGATTGATTACTATCTTTTCCGTTTGAATCATGGAAGCAATTTGGATTGCTTAGTACGTCTTATTAAAAAGTTCTCAATTAAAACACAAAGTAACTTTCGTTACCGTTGCAGAAAAGTAAAAGTTATTATATTTTCTATACCAATTAACTAACTTTTCCTTAAAAAGTTGATATTATTGTATTTTCCTCACTAACATCCACCAAAAACCGTGATTTATATGAATAATTATACCTCCCTTACCTGAAGTATTAATTCCACAATCATTCTGGAATGAAATGCAATCCTTATCCTAGGATATCGTATTTTTTATCTTAGGGAAATCTTTGTAAATTTTTTAATTATAGTTTGTTGGTTTTTTAAAGATTTTAGGTAAAACAATACTTTAGTTAATAGTTCTTAAAGTGTTTCAAATATCTATTTAAAGAGAATTACAATTTTAAGCTCAGAAAAAGTTTGCTACATTTACAATTCTTTTTACTGGAAATGTGCACAGTTTTTCTTATTATATACAGTTAAATGTTTTTCATAGAAACTGTTGTTTGGTGTTGCCTGTAGTAGGCATGGTGTTAAATTTGCAAGTTTGTCATCTAGTGGAATGACATTTAATATATATACCACCCGCTGTATCTTTGATAACTTGCTAATTAATCTTTAGTCATTAAATGATAATCTCTTTAGCGTTAAAATCATGAAATTTATATTAAATTACTCGTGAAGGTATGGTATTTGCTAGGGCCAGAGCACGAGTGTAGCGAATAAGATACTTGTATCAGATGGAACCTCTAGAAGGGATGCCAAACCACTAAGTCTGTTAATAACAAAGTTATTAATAGAATCCCTATGCTGTTTATATACTGCGGAGAAAAATTAAAGGAAGAACTCGTGCAATTTTGATTTTGCAGCCCTTGAACATTTAACTTGCACAACATTTTTGTTTTCTTACATCATTCCTGACATACATTCAAAATTCAGAATTGCTTGTTTCTGCAAAAAATAAATAAGAATACAGGGGAAATGGTGACTAGCGCCTTTAAATTCCCGAAGAGAACAAGATAGGGTCTACAGCAGCGGTTCTCAATCTTTTGACTAACGCTACCATCTAAACAAGGCCCACCAGCGGCCGAGCGGTAAAGACGCTGAACACTGGTAGTTCGGTCTGAGGTTCGAATCCCGCGAACGGGCTGGCTGCATGGGCGTTTTCGTGGTTTTCCCCATGTGTAACGTGTATACGAGCCAGTTTCCCTTAGAAAGTCCTCCACGAAAGGCATTCCTCCCTTTAGGCAGATAGCCCTCGTGTGCTTTGCCATAATTAAATACACCACACCACACCATCTAAACAAAAATTGGAAATCTTTAGTACCATCACCACTCTTGAACATAGCTCAGATCGCATAAATTTACGAGTGTTTGAGAAAAACTCAATCAGGATGTTGAAGTTTTAATTTTTGAATTTAATAGTTAAAAATACTTTGCTTCTTTGCGTACCAGCTATTTTTCTCTTGTGTACCACCGGTTGAGAACTCCTGGTCTACAGTGATGCAAGTTGGCGTCTAAGTGCTTTCCACAGCGACTGCATTCGGCAAGCAACTTCACTTAGAAGGGTCAAGAACTTCATCTCCGTATATTTCAGTGGCGCCTCTAGTGACCGAGTGCTGAATATTGGTACTGATTACTAAATTCAGTTTTGCAGTACAGTAACCAAAAGCATTTCGAGTTTGTTTCTGCTAGAATAACTTTAAAGTTGCATACTTGATAATGTTAAATTTTAGTATCAATTTATATGAAGAATTCTGATTTTTGCACACTGTGGGAGTAGGAAAGCAAATAAAATAAAATCGCTGCCTTTACAACTTTATTTGAACTATACTCAAATTAGCTTGATGTAGATTTCCCATATTCAAAGTAGTTTTACTTGAAGCATTAATATTTACACTCCGTTTTTTTTCTCATAAAACTTATCCTGCCGTGCATATGTTTGCGAACAGCTATAATAACGTTATAATGATTATATTGGTATGAATTATAAATGAGCAAAACTTTACATAAATCTTTTAACTGTAAAGCCAATATGTATATGTAATAAAATCCTGCAGTTATTTTGAAAAAGTCAATTTCTTTACATCCAGGTAGCTTCGACTATCAATAAAACCTTTCTGTAGGATGAAAATCTTTCTTTGGAGCATTCAGATAAAATATTCTCCTTGGTCATGACTCGCCTGAATTTGTATCTGCACCGAAACACATCTCGCCCATCGATCAACCAATACTGGATTTTATTTCTTGGCAGCCGTAAAAGGAAATTGAAAAAAAAAAAAGGGGGGGGGGACAGTAGTGCTCTATAAAAGTACGTGCGAGTGTTCCGCGTCAAGAGTTAATGCCTGACATGCGGTCTTAAACTACTATTCCACGCCTAATGTTTGATTAGGAACTCAAATTTCTCCTTTCTTGCTCTTTTATGTACATGAATAAGGTAAAATGCTGGAATACTTCGTGTTCAGTGCTCTTATGAGAATTGAGTCATATATACTTAGCTTAACTTTGCGGCGTTTTATTGTTGAACTGGGGGAATCATTTGCGTTCTTCTCGTGTTTCTCTGAAATGAAATATAAATATTCAAGTGTAAGCTTGGTGTTTTCCCGAAACGAAATGTGAATATTTCATTAGCTTGCTGTGTACTTTTAAATGAGATCATTTTTTGCTAATGATACGATGTTTTATGCTTTTATATGGAAGGGTTAATTATTCTGTAATTTCTTTAGTTATAGTTTATGCAATGTTATCTCCTATAGATGGTAATTAATGTTAATTTTAGAGTTAATGTTAATTTAATATTCCCTAGAATTCGTCTTCCCGCTTTTCCTTTCTTTATTTTCATTTTTTTAA